CTTATGCTGGCATAATAAAAGACTGCTTCCTAGCCTTGGTGTGTCATTTTGGCTCATGAACCCTGCTCCAAGTTCAGGGACCCAAGCACTGGAGCCATCTTCCGCTGCTTTCCCAGGTGCATTAGCAGAGAGCAGGAAGGGAAGTAGAGCAGCCAGGTCTAGAACCAGCACCCACATGGGATGCCAGCATCGCAGGCAGAAGCTTAATTTGCTATGCCACAACACCAGCCCCTAAATGTAGTTTTCTTCAAAGTATTTCAATCTAATATTTTTTATTAAACACTGCTTGCTTTCACAGCTTTTATTTTACTTGATTTCTCACTATGTTTATTTTCTCTATTTCTATGTTATTAACTTGCTTTTAAATAGTCTTCTTAATGTACTTAGGAACAAGTTCTGATCTAGAATGGCAAAACTCAAAACTCCTTTCATTTCCCTCTAAACTATACAACTGTTAGACAATGACAATTAAAGACATACTTTTGATGCAGTGAGCAACCCCTGGCTCCCATACTTTGGTCACTACAGTAACTGCCAACATTTTAAAATCAGAACATCAACAGGTTTTGTGTACTCCCCTGACTCTTCTCACCAACAACTTTCTGGCTTCTCTTGAGAAATCAACATCCTTGGGCTCATGCCTCCACATGCCAAAATTCAGCTATAACTAAGTAGCTACCTCCTTTACATGGAACATGCAAAGCATTTAAGTTCAAAGCATTCAATATTTCTTGTTTTATACCCAACACACTTAACTGATACACAATGGATGCCTAGAGGCTTTTGCAAACTCTGATAAACCACAAGTTCCCCTTTTTGCCAGGCACTTCACAGCTAACTTGGCGTTCAACTTCAATAACTACACTTATCCGACTTCTCTAGTCTAACCTCTTTCCTACTTCCACTGTGTGGCTCCTGACATTTTTTCCCCATTTCATTGTCTAACAATATATACACCGAATTCTATCCTTCTCAAGTTATTTTGTGAATGAAAATTTTTAGGGACCAGTACTGTGGTGTAGCAGGTTAACCTTCCACCTGTAATGCTGGAATTCCATATGGGTGCTGGTTCAGGACCCAGCTGCTCCACTCCAATCCAGCTCCCTGCTGATGTACCTGGGAAAGCAATGGAAGATGGCCCAAGTGCTTGGGCCCCTTCACCCATGTGGGAAACCCAAAGCAGCTCTGCGCTCCTAGCTTTGGCTTGGCATAGCCCCGCCAGCTGCAGCATTTGGGCAGTGAACCAATGGATGAAAGATCTAATTCTGCCTTTCAAATAACTAAAAAATAAATCTTTTTAAAAAAAGAATTTTTAAAAAACATTTCAGCTCTGAAATTCTTGCCTTCTCCTGACTCTGATTTATACTGTCAATCAAGTTCAATCCAGCACCCTTACTGAATTAAATCTATGAATTACCTTTGTTAGTACTGTCGTCTTTACTGCATTAAAACTACTTGGCCAGGAGTAGGTTATATTTCTCTTATTGTTTTCTTTCTATTAAAGTAATGTAATTCTCTCTATTAGGCCATAATACATATTAGTTTTATTTTTAACAACACAAATATTATCTTTTTCATTGTATTTTCTGTGTACTGATAAAACAAATGACTGAATTTAGTTAGGCATATGTTTCATAATCTATAATTTAAGAACCTCATCTCAAGATATGCTTTCTTATATATCCAAACATTCCAGGTTATAGCCTCTTGTCATTAGAAAATACTCTCATTGTACTCTCTAATAACTTACACATACTCCACTTATTTCTTTTATATGTGTTGTTGCAACTAGTTACTAAAAACAATGCTATAGGGGCGGCATTGGAGCACAGCTTGTTTTAAGCTGCTGCCTCTGACATCAGCATCTCATATGGGCGTCGGTTCAAGTCCAGCTGCTCTACTTCTGAACCAGTTCCCTGCTAATGTTTCTGGGAAAGCCAGATGATGGCCCAAGTACTCCAGCCCCTGCCACCCACATAGGAGACAAAGACTGAGTTCTAGGCTCCTGGCTTTGGCCTGTACCAGCCACTGTGGCCATTTGAGAAGTGAACTAGAAGATGAAAGATATTTCTCTTTCTCCCACTCTGCCCCGCTGTCTCTCTCTAACTCTGCCTTTCAAATAACTAATAAAAATAGTGCCATAAAAAAGGTTGATGTTTTTGTTTGAGAAAAACTATTTCTATTTCTCCAAAATACTGGCATCTGCCACTATAAGAAACCCCCTAAATATCTTTCTGTGTCCTCAACTTAAAATAAAATCTATTTTTGACAAAAGTGCCATGATAATCAATAGGGAAGATAGTCTTTTCAATAAATGCGCAAAAATCACTGTGTCTTTTTAGAGGAAGAAGATAAACCCTGACCTTTTTTTCAAATCATACATAAAAATTAAAATGGATCACAGACATAAACATAAGTGCTAAATAAGCAAACTCTTAAAAGAAAGCATAGAGAAAATTTTTTGACTTTGGGGTAAGGCAATGATTTGATAGAACATGAAAAACATGAACCATTTAAAAAATGGATAAATTTGACCTTATCAAAAATTCAAAAATTTTTTCTCACAGAAAGATGCCATTAACAAAAAAGTACACCACAGATTAGAGAAAAAAATTGCAAAAACATATAGTTAACAAATGTCTAGAATCCTCATTATACAAAGACCTCTTATGACAAACCAATTTGTGAAACTTGTTTTGGAAGATGACGATAATGAAGATGTGAAAGGATGTGAGCACCTCACTAAGGCAGGCAGGCAAACTGGTCAATCAGCACTTAGAAATATGCTCAATAGTGCTGGTCACTGGAAATATTTGAGAGGCTGGTGTTTGGGTCAGCAGTTAAGATGCCTACTTTCCACATGGGATACCTGGGTTTGATTCCTGGTTCCAAGTCCCAATTCCAGCTTCCTGTCAAAGCAGACTATGGGAGACAACTGTGATGGCTTAAGTAACTGAGTCCCTGCCACCCACATAGGAGACATGGGATTGAGCTTCCAGCTCTGGCTCCAGTTCCAAGCCCAGTCCCTGCTATCATGGGCAGGATGGGAACTCTCTTTGTCCGTCTGTTACCTCCTTCCTCTCTGCTTGCTAAATAAATTTAAAGAAATTTTTTAGAGGCTGGCATTATGGCATACTGGGTAAGGCCACCACTTGTGATACCAGCATCCCATATGAATGCTGATTTGAGGCCTTGATGCTTCACTTCTGATCCAGTGCTCTGCAAATGTGCCTGGGAAAGCACAGAAGATGGCCCAAGTGCTTGGTTCCATGCACCCACATGGGAGGCCTGCAGAAAGCTCCAGGCTCCTGGCATTCGCCTGGCTCAGCCCTGGTCACTGTGGCCATTTGGGGACTGAAGCAGCAGATGAAGATCTCTCTGTCTGTCTCTCCCTCTCTTTCTGTAACTATGCCCTTCAAAAATAAATAAATAAATTTTTTAAAAAAAAATTAAAGGAAATATGTGAATTAAAATCAGTGAGATAACACTACATACTTTAGAACATCTGAAAATAAAAACACTGATAATAGGAAACGTTAGTGAGGAGGCGGAACAACTAAAACCCTTCTACCTTCCCAATGCAAATGCAAAATGGAATCTAGTGACAATTTCTTATAAATTAAAACATACTCTTGTCCTATGACTCAGCAGTCCTGATCTTAGGCATCTACCCAAGAGTAAGGGACTATCTATTCAAACAAAATCATGTACATGAATTTTTAAAGCTTTATTATTCATAAGAAATGATAATAAATATTCATAAAACTGAACAAACAAAAAGTGGTATGTTCACACAATGGAACACTATTTTACAGGGAACGAAGTAACTGATAAGTATTGAATAACATGGATGGATCTTAATAACATTATCATGCTAAGTAGTAAAGGAAAATAAAACACTATATATTGTACAATTCCATTTTATATGACATTCTAGAAAGGGCAAAACTATGCTGGCCAAAAATGGATCAGTGGTTGCCTGAGAACATAAGAAAAAAGATTAACTTTAAAATAATTTTCTGAGAGTTTGAGAACTTTCTAAGAGGGAAGGTGTATGACTGTATATAGTTAACAAAATTCAAACTGTATACTCTAAATGTTTAAATTTTATCATATGTAAATAATATATCAATAAAACTATAAAACCAAAAAATTTAAATTTCCTCTTGAAGGTACACTTTATAAAATGAAACTTAATCTGGTCGGCACCGTGGCTCACTAGGCTAATCCTCCGCCTTGTGGCGCTGGTACACCAGGTTCTAGTCCCGGTCGGGGCGCCAGAGTCTGTCCCGGTTGCCCCTCTTCCAGGCTAGCTCTCTGCTGTGGCCAGGGAGTGCAGTGGAGGATGGCCCAAGTACTTGGGCCCTGCACCCCATGGGAGACCAGGATAAGTACCTGGCTCCTGGCTTCGGATCAGCACGATGCGCTGGCCGCAGCGGCCATTGGAGGGTGAACCAACGGCAAAAAGGAAGACCTTTCTCTCTGTCTCTCTCTCTCTCACTGTCCACTCTGCCTGTCAAAAATTAAAAAAAAAAAAAAAATCTACAGTTCAAAATTTCTAAACACCAAGGTTCAGGTACACTTCCTTAGTTGGCCACACTCTCTGTATTGTCACACATTAAGGCCAGTAAAGTAATGGGCTTTGATTCCACCTTACTCCTGTCTCCCAGTGGGTGAGAATAATGGAAGCTCCTTTCTATGTACTTCTTTCATTGGAAGATTTCATTCAGCATCCCTTCTCTATAATAAACCACAGCCATGAGTATAATAGCTTTCAGTGGATTGAGTTTTAGGCAGACTCTTGAACCTAAAGGTGGTCTGAGGAACCCCTGAACTTGCAATTGAATTAAGGGTGGTCATGTATACTCCACATAAATAGGTGTCAAACTTAGGAGCATAAAATTCATATCTGAAGTGGTTAACAATTACCCAAACTATGTTACAAAGGTCATTATCTTTCAGCTTAGTATAATGACAAAAGCTTTTAACAATCTTTATAGGTACTAGGTAAACCTGGAACCAACCCAAGCACTAAGACTCCAGATTGAGCATATGTATCAGCTGTTTAACTACAAAGGTAAATATACACACCTATTGTAACAGAGGAGAAACCAACCATCTCATCATCCTTGCTTACCTACATATATATATAATATAATCCTTTGTATAAATTGCTTCTCCTTTGTATATTTTTATGTTTCAGCACATGTATACATCATGTAATGATCAAACCACAGTAATCAGCAGAAACATTCCATACTTGTATCATTTCTCTGTGGTGACAGCATTCAAAAATACACAATACATTAATGTTAACTACAGTCACCTTGCTGGATAATAGAACACAAAAATTTATTCCTCCTTTCTACTTGTAATTCTATACCCATCAACCAACTCTGCACAACTTTCTCTTTACTTTTCTCACTCCAGTCTCTGGTAATCAACAATTCTGCTCTCTACTCCTGTGAGATCAATGTTCTTTGATTCCACATATGAGTGAGATCACACGGTATTTATCATTCTGTGTCTGGCTTATTTCACACATGTCATCTAGTTCTTTTAAATAGCTTCTCATTCCCCTACTTACAATCTACAGAACATTTTGATTGTTTAACTCTTGCATTTTCTAAGCATGTAGTTAGATATCTTCTTTCAAATTGCTAGTGGTATTATCCATAGTAAGTATTATCCTAGAGGCAGAATTACACTAATATATATAGATACTATCTTTATAAAAAGTTAAATAAAATCAGGCTAAAGAGTATAATGATTATAAAATATGACAAAAATTATTTCCCAAAAATGCCTCCCTAAATCAACTTTTTTTTGTTTACACATGTCATTTTTACCTAAATCAACTTCTAAAATCTTAGCTATCATTTTCACAATGCTGATATTTTCCATGAGAGAAAAGGAAAGTTTAGGGAAAAATCATACACATAATACAGTGAGATTCTGTTTAGAATACTAAATGTTTCTGTTTCTGAATGCTTGTAAATGTGAGGCACTCATCTAGGCTGCTCCTTTTCATGTTAAGCTAAATTAGGAGAGGTAGTAAGTTAGTTAATGTTGGAGTCAGAATTTCTGACGAGAGAGTGCTATCCTTCAAAGCAAAGCCAAAGTTTTCAAAGGCTTAAAGACTCTCCATTTGTTCAAATTTATTCGCAAGTGTCAGAACAAGCAGGTGATCCACTGGAGCTGCTCAAAATACCACCTCAACAACAGGTGGGCAGAACACTTTGTAAAACTCTAGCATTAGCACAGTGGATGAATGTATCACCTCTCCTCCTCAAAGCTTCTGCAACTCTGCAAAACAGAGCCGGGACAACCTTACGTTATGTGCCAGTGTTTTTTTTTTTTTTTTTTTGATAGGCAGAGTGGACAGTGGACAGTGAGAGAGACAAAGGTCTTCCTTTGCCGTTGGTTCACCCTCCAATGGCCGCTGCGGCCGGCCCGCTGTGGCCGGTGCACCACGCTGATCCAATGGCAGGAGCCAGGTACTTATCCTGGTCTCCCATGGGGTGCAGGGCCCAAGGACCTGGGCCATCCTCCACTGCACTCCCTGGCCACAGCAGAGAGCTGGCCTGGAAGAAGGGCAACCGGGACAGAATCCAGCGCCCTGACCGGGACTAGAACCCGGGGTGTGCCGGCGCCACAAGGCGGAGGATTAGCCTAGTGAGCCGCGGCGCCGGCGTGCCAGTCTTTACATAGTTTTAACATAGCCTAATAGAACTCCAACTTGTTGGTTCAGCCCTGACTATTCGTCATCCAGCAAGACAAGCTTGACATTTTAATTAGAACTCCAACTTCACTAGAAGATGGACTCTTGGAACCACTTCTCAGTCCCCAAACCCACTACCCTTCACCAGCTTTCTTCTAATCACAATAATATGTACTTTCCTTCCACAGACCTGCATTATTTGACTCTCCCCTGGTAGAATGCAAGTCCTGTCTAGAAGCCACATCCCACTAACCCAACTGGGACTCAGTCCTACAGCCACATGGAACTTAATTTTGGCAACACCTCAATGACTTTGGAAGAGGATTCATTCCTAAGAACCTCAAGAAAACATCACAGCCCTGCTGAAACTGATTTCAGGACTGAGTGACTTGGAGCAAAAAACCAGCTAAGCTACATTGTGTACAGGCTTCTGATTCATAGAACTCTGTTGTTTGAAGCCATTAATTTTGGAAAGTTGTTCCAGCAACAGAAAACTAATAAAATTGTGATTCCAGTCATACCATCAAATTGCCTTACTTTTCTCTCACCAGCAGTTAGCTGTTAGGAACCCAGGAAACTGGATTTATCCAGTTTTCTATTGACAACAATTTTACAAGATGTTTCACATTGCATTGTCTTAATTTTTCTATGTATTTTGTCTTCCTTACTAGAATGCAAGCTCTTTGAGAACAGGAAATGTGAGTGTGTTTTATACTTTTTAATGTTTTTCATTGCTCAGGTAATATATATGTTATACTTTTTTACCGTGTATTTTTTACACATATAAATACACCATGCTACATACTGCTTTATAATGTATTATTTTCCTTAACAACTTTATGCAGATATTCTATGCTAACGGACATTCTTCTGCAGCATCACTTTTACTGGCTTCATAAAGCCTCAGACTTGGCAAGTGTCCCATAACCTTTCTCATGCTCTATACTGCTCTCTATATAACATTTTCTATAGTTGTAATAATTTGGGATTGCATGATAATTTTACTAAGTTCTGTTTTCTCCACGAAATGGTCATCTCCATGAGATAAAAAAGTGCTTATTTTTCTCAAGTGTACAACTTCAAGAGCCAAACCCAAAGAAGATGGTGAAGAGAAATAGTCCATGAATGAATGAATGAATTTAACCAAACTTCTTTCACCATTTAGGTTATTTCCTTATTTTACTAATCCTAAAAGAGGTCTTTAGCATACAACTTGTTTTCAATAAATGTTTGCCAATGGCTAAATAGAATAATCGAATTTTCAAGAATGTCAAAGGATAGTCATTCAGTAAATAGCAAACTGACTTAAGCCATTGGGAGTAAGAGAAATGAGTCCTATTCACAGAACTGTTCTTAGGTGATAAGAGGACTCTCAAAGCAAGAATTTTAGTAAATTTTATCTTGTATTTTTTTTCTATTTCTTTTCCAGAGACAGATATGCACAATGAGATATGGAAACTCTATAAAGTCTTCAAAGAGGTATGTTTTATACACAGGCTAATTAAAGAAAAATATTCTTCCTAAGATATTTAAATACTGGGAAGAGCTCAGAAAACTTATCAATAATTCAAGGATTGGGGCTGGTGCTGTGGCATAGTAAGCTAAGCCGGTTATAGGCACTGGTTCACATCCCAGCTGCTCCTCTTCTGATCCAGCTCTGCTGTGGTCTGGGATAGCAGTGGAAAAAGGCCCAAGTGCTTAGGCCCTTGCATCAGTGTGGGAAACCTAGAAGAAGCTCCTGGCTCCTGGCTTCAGATCAGCTCAGTTCTGGCCATTGCAACCACTTGGGGAGTGAACCAGTGGATGGAAGACCTTTCTGACTCTCCTTCTCACTGCAAATCTAACTCTCAAATAAATAAATAAAATCTTAAGAAAAAATAACTGAAGGATAGAAGATAAACTTAATGTTAGTAAAATATTATTACCAATCCCATAAATAATTCTTTACACAAGTTAATAACATAATTAGCAACTAAGGGGTAGATTTAACCAGAGACACTAAACCTATGTAACTCCAAGTTTTTTTTCTTTTTAATATTTTTTTTTATTTATTTCAAAGAGTTACACAGAGAGACAAGGAAAGGCAGAGAGAGCGACAGAGAGAGAGAGAGAGCAAGGTCTTCCATCCTCTGGTTCACTCCCCAACTGGACGCAATGTCCAGAGCTGTGCCAATCCAAAGCCAGGAACCAGGAGCTTCTTCCAGGTCTCCTGTTGCTGTTGATTTCTCAACAATGTTGCAGTGGATTCGTTTCTGAGAGGAGCAGCGTGGTGAGGGCAAGAGGTGCAGAGTCACCACACAGACCCCGGGAGTCGCACACAGACCCCGGGAGTTGGTGAAAGCAGGCTTGAGGTGAGCAGCCCGCAGACTCGTTTATTACAGTTGGAACAACATCTTGTATAGTCAAGACCAGCCAATCTGGTCAAGGGGCCGTCTATGCCCCAACCAATCACAGCCTGTTGCCAGGCAGGCTCCGTTGCCAGGTGGGTTTCAAAGCCATTCCTGAGTAACTGACACTCGCTTGCCAGTGGCCACCTTGGCATGGCCTTCTCATTCCACACTGCTTTCTCAGGCAATAGCAGGGAGCTGGATCAGAAGTGGCAGCTGGGACCTGTACTGGCACCCATATGAGATGCCAGCACTGCAGGTGGCGGCTTTACCCACTATGCCACAGTGCCAGCCCCACTCCAAGCTTTAATAGAGAGTTGTTCTAGGGGCCGGTGCTGTGGTGTAGCGGGTAAAGCTGCCACCTGCAGTACTGGAGTCCCATATGGGTGCCAGTTGGAGTCCCGGATGCTCCACTTCCTCTAGCTCTCTGCTAAGGCCTGAGAAAGCAGTAGAAGATGGCCCAAGCCCTTGGGCCCCTGCACCCATGTGGGAGACCTGGAAGAAACTCCTGGCTCCTGTCCTCAGATTGGCTCAGCTCCAGGAATTACATCCATCTGGGGAGTGAATCAGAAGATGGAAGACCTCTCTCTCTGCCTCTGGCTCTCTGTAGCTCTGCCTTTCAAATAAATAATAAATAAATATTTTTTTGAAAAAAGAGAGTTTCTCTAAAATTAAAACACTTATCTTACTAAAAAGTAACATTATCAGTTTGAAGCTAGGTGTTGTTCAGTAAATATTTAAAACATAAAAATCAAAAAATGTCCAACCATGAAATAAGGATAATGCAGTTCATCGTAATTCATATTCTTTACCTGACAGGACACAAAGAGATGGATTGCCTTCAAATTATTCAAAGTCTTCACAGAGTGTATAGGTGCTTTGGTTTCTTTCAAAATTTCTCTATAGTTATAACTCTATATAACCTGCCTCTTCTCTTCATGTTTCCCTAAAAAGCTTCTATCGTCTTTAAATGTTGGGAGGGAAAGATCTGCAAAGGGGGAAATCATGATCCCTGCAGGATTAAGCTCTCAGAGGCAGCATGATATACAACGTAAGGAGCACTGCGCTGGACACGAGCATAGAGCAACCGTCTGCCATTACCTGTCTGCATCAACCACTCAGGTTTCCTAGATCCCAGGTTCTTCCCCTGTAAAGTAAAGGTGCTCGATGGTTTCAAGGGCCCTTCTGGCATAAACATTCTACACTGGGGGCTTCTGGGGAATGAGAACAATGGAGAAAAAAAGCAGAACTCATACTGTTGCCTGTTCTCACTGGGTATTCTGCAGGTGTTGTAGAAAATTGGAAAAGGTCTCAAATAAAATGCCTCTGCCACAGGTTGTGCCCAAAATGGAGGCCATCACCCTCCTCAGACCTCCAGTTCCTTCACACCCTGTTAACCCAAGTTATCTGAAATTTGAGACATTTTAGGGCCACAGATCTTTATTCGTGATTGGGACTTTAAATGGCTTCTTTTGAGGAGAGACAAAACATAAAAAAAAAAAAAAAAAACCTAGATTTGTGCAAAATATATGTATAGAACCACTATGGAAAAATCAATATTAGGAAGATACGCTCAAAACTCCTGGAGTATCAAACAAAGTGGACACTAAGCTCTGTGTTAGCAGGGTTTACAGAGTGGAAGACTAGAGTTCTAATACTGCTATGACACTCAAATCCAAAATATTAGAAGCAGTTCCCTACTTATCCTCAACGTCTCCCTTCCCAGGATATGGGAATGTCTATCACAGAAGCACAGCACCTCCACTTCAATCCACTCCTGGGGCCTATGTTGTCCAAAAGGTGAACAAAACTAGACCTTTTGTCCCAGAATAGTTCCCATGTCTACTAATACAGGTATCTCAGAACTAAATGAGAGCATTCTTGCTCTGTCCAAATTAATACAGAACATAGAAGTCTTCCTTTCTAGGAAGACTTTTTTTTTTTTTTTAACAGGCAGAGTTAGACAGTGAGAGAGAGAGATAGAGAGAAAGGTCTTCCTTCCGTTGGTTCACCCCTCCAAATGGCCGCTATGGCTGGAGATATGCCGATCTGAAGCCAGGAGCCAGGTGTTTCCTCCTGGTCTCCCATGGGGGTGCAGGGGCCCAAGCACTTGGGCCATCCTCCACTGCCTTCCTGGGCCACAGCAGAGAGGTGGACTGGAAGAGGAGCAACCGGGACTAGAACCCGGTACCCATATGGGATGCCAGCACCACAGGCGGAGGATTAACTGTGGGGAGCAATCCGGACTAGACTGAGTTACTGGAATTAAGACTTATTCTATGCATCTGCTCTCCCACAATATGGCGCTGGGAGAGGAGAAAACAGCTTCTACGCAGCTGCCTCCAGTTCAGCCAATAAACTGTAGGACTTGCTCCTGATTGGAGGAGAGCAGCGTACTCGGCGTGTGGGCAGCCAAGTTGGGATTGGCGGAGGAGGACTATAAAGGAGGAGAGAGACGGCATGCACCAGGAACATCTATGGGGAACATCTAGCTGAGGGAACACCTGTGCAGCCCCCGAGAAGAGCCGGCCGGCGGTGTGCCGCTCCCCTGCGGAAGTGGGGAATGCGGCCAGGGGGAACTGCCCTTCCACGGAGGTGGAAGGGATAGTAGCCAACCCGGGAAGAACCAGCAGCAAACCCGGGGAGGGCCGAGCAGACAGAAAGAACAGCGCAGGGTCCTGTGTTGCTCCTCCACGAAGAGGGGGAGCGACATAATGGTGCCGTGACTCGGATATGAAGCCTAGGCAGGGCTTAGTGTCGTTCCTCCACGAAGAGGGGGAGCGACAATTAACCAAGTGAGCCATGGCGCTGGCCCCCAAGAAGACTTTTTTTTTTTTTAATATATTTATTTATTTGAAAGGCAAAGGTAGAAAGAGAAAGAGAGGGAGAGACAGAGGTCTTCCATCCACTGGTTCACTCCCCAAATGGCCACAGGAGCTGGATCTGAAGTGGAGCAGCCAGGACTGGAACCAGCGCCCATGTGGGATGTCGGTGCTGCAGTCAGCGGCTGAACCCACTGCACCACAGCACTGGCCCCGCAAGAAGACTTTTAATAATAATAATTTTCTTTCTAAAAACTGACACATATACTTTAAGGCTACTTATAGATTCTATTTATACATGTCTATAG